CCTGCACATCTCCTACTGAGGATGTGCCCGCAACCCAGGTACATGCCCTTGACCGGAATCGAACCTGGGACCTTTCAGTCTGCAGGCCGACGCTCTATCCACTGAGCCAAACCGGTTTTGGCCCAATTCACATTTTAAAGTGACAACATGTGGGCCAAACGATGCCCTTATGTGAGCCACCGACACCCGTAGCCACTGCTGCTACCTGGCTCACAGACATACAGGAAATATTTTAGGTTTTGCAGGACAAGAGGCAAAATTGAGGGTGTTATGTAGTTAGTTACACAAACAAGAGGGAAAAAAAACACAATTTTCCACAAATGTTTTATTGATAAGATTTCAAATGTCAGAATGAAGTACAATATTTTGGACGACAGGTCTACTAAGGAGAAGAATGGAATTTCTGGGGGAGAAGCTGGTTTTGTGTAATTGGGTTTCAAAGGTAGTGTTCTCTACCAAACAGGTTGCAAATGCTCTGTAAAAACCATTCCTGGCTCACCGGCTAGTGGGCCGGGCCCACGGGCCCACGGTTGGCTGACCACTGCATCGGCCGGCTGCTAACAGGGTGACCCCCAGCCCAGCCCACTGGGAACAGACCCTGCTCACACCTATGGGCCTGCTTAGTTATTAATAGCGCCTCTCTTTCTCCAAAAAGGGTTCGATGTGGATGAAGCCTTATTTAACATTGTTCTGATTTATAGCTAAGATGGTTTTCCTTTGCAGGGTTTTAAGCCGGGGATGCTTTTTATATGCCTAAACAAAACGGGGCCCTCAGTGTGGTTAGCTCTCAAAACTCACCGTGCATAAAAATCATCTGGGGAGTTAAAAAAAAAAATAAAGATGCATGGCCCTCACCCCCTAATTCAATTGGTCGGGGCGAGACCAGAGTGTCCTTACATCTTTTAAAAAAGTACAAGTGCCTGGCTGGTGTGGTTGAGTGTCGACCTATGAACCAGGAGGTCATGGTCCAATTCTCGGTCAGGGCACATGCCCAGGTTGGGGGCTTTATCCCCAGTGTGGGGCGTGCAGGAGGCAACCGATCACTGATTCTCTCTCATCGTTGAAGTTTCTATCTCTCTTTCCCTCTCCCTTCCTCTCTCTGAAATCAATAAAAACATTTTT